TTCAATAATACAAAATCCGAATATTAAATAGATGTTACAAATTTATTTCGAATTCAATAGAATATATTGATTCGATATTTGAATAATGTTAGTGTAATTAAACGTCATTTTCTTCATAACCTCGACGATATATTTTTTTCATAGCATTGAAGTATATGTATAAAAACTTCATTTATTTTCGAAACAATGGTCCTGCTCGCTTTCAGACTACATGTACAGACACTTTGATCTTTTTGTCCCCTGCAGAAGCATAGGAACCCCTTTCTTTCTTTCATTAATTTACTCCTCTCTCCGCTCTTGTATTTTGTCTACATTCTCTCCCTTGTTTGATTACGAGAAGTCACTTTTACAAAAAGTTTACCACCAAGAGACACAATGTTCTAACGACATCTGTTTATAATATAGTGACCATTACAATAAGTGTTCAATTTCTTTTCTCTTAGAAAAAAATAATATTGATCTGTTTTTTCCTATAAGTGCATTGCATTGTCCTAGTTTTGTTTCATATCAAGCATATCATCGTTGGAAGAAATGTATCATTCGTTAAAATTGAATCATGATTTATGAAAAAAACTGCATTCTGTAAAGATTTATTTCCTATATACATAAACATCGGATACAGCGATTCACTTGCAGAGAGGAAAACGTACAATGAACTTATACTAGGATACAGCAGGCTGCATACAGAGATTTGTGGAATTAATGTGATTACTTTAAAGGAAACATAAATAGTGTGTGAAATATAAATACCTTTTTATTTGGTCTTTGAACAAATCGTTTTAGGCAAAGGTAAACAAAAATTAACTAGGTTCTAAATTTCTTTAGAGTATTTTTTTTCATTTATAATATCGAATTGCATCACCCTCAATATTTTTTTCTTCTTTTGAATGAAATCACTTTCTAGTCAAAAACTTTTAGCATTTCTGTCATTTTCGTTTATAAAAGTAAATTTAGACAAACGTCAATTTTAGCTAGTATTTTCCATTTAAAAATTATTCAATATCAAGGAGGACTTAGTTTGGATAGGTGGACATACTCCTCCATATAGGAGATTGTATTATTGATTGATGTTATTTAATCCTCTCCTTAAAACTTTTTACTTTTCTTCTCTCGATATAGATCTTGTTCCGCTATAATATCTTCTTTCGCATTTGAAAAGTGATCATTACATAGAGCAGATCTTTTTTTCCAACAATATTGAAGGACTACATTAATCTTTTAGATCTTACGTCATTTCGAAAATAACTTGTAATATGGAAGAAGGGGAAGATTATACGGGATATAATGCAAGAATTGACAAGCAACTTCAAATTGGGGTTAAAGGTCATTTCAATCAGTTCATTGTTTAGAAATGGAATTCAAGGATATGTGCAAAAACCTATCAAAAATACATAAATCACTCATGGATGCGATCAATGAATTTTAATTTAAACATTTTATTTAATTAATCGATGAGGATTGGGAAACAAGCAAAGCCTATATATACCCTCTCCTTTTATAATAGATCAAGACAAAAACAAGGAATTTTACTTGTACAACTTGCTATTTGTACTTGGAATATAAAAATCATCAAAAGTAAAGATTCACAACCAAGTATCACCAATAGGTATTATATCAAAAAGAAAAAAAATCAGATAAGGACCGTTAATGATATATATAAATTATAAAATACTGTTCCAGCTTTAATATGAATATTGGGAAAAAATATTCAGTATACCTAGTTTAAGCAATGCGTTTTGCTGTTTAAAGAGAAAAGGTATCAGAATCAAGGAATACACACTATTTCGTCATAATTTTATTTTCAGAAACTCTTTTCCGTATCAGAAATTTACTTTCACACAAGAAAAAAGCAGATGTTCCATAACAGATTACCACTAGTGGTTATGCCCTATAGTGTAATGTCAAATTTGATGGGGTTTTCCTCTAGGAATTGTAAAATTTCTTTAACATTTATTTCTGCTGCATTATCTTTCCGGTTCCTTCATTCATTGAATCCATGAAGTTAAAATCGTTTTAATAATATTCAATCAAAATAAATCTCATTTAAAAATACTATCAGTTAGATATAATCTCATCATCTGCAGAGGACATCAATGAATGTATCAAAGACGAGGAGAATATAGGTTATCTATAGATATGAACTTTAAGTAATATCTGTTATGTAATAATACCTTATGCTTATCATGTAGCACAGAAATACAAAAATATCAAGAGTTTACAAATATACCTGACTAAACTTGTCTTACTTTATTGAAGAGGGATTATAAGATCTTTTATGTTCAATTTATAAATTGCACTTACAAACAGAAATATCTCTTTGAAGGTGAGCTATAGATATTATCAAAAAAGACGATTTATGACCTTGTATGGAATTCAAATTATCAAAGTTTCTTTTTTAGTGGCAGAAAGTTCTGAATGTATAACGTAGATTTAGCCTTAAGTAAAAGAAATGTTATTTACATGTGTAGCTGAAATAGTTGAAAATTAAACAATAAAATCGTTTTTATTTCTTTCTTGAGTTTAATATTTTGCTACATATATTAACGATATAGAATTGACAATGTTTCCATTGTACATATCCTGTAACATTATACTAAATTTGGATCCAATAATCTTCGCCTTACCAAGCACTGTCCATCTTGTCAGATACATTGAAATCATTTTAATTAGTGGGATAAATGTTCTTTGGCAAAAAAAAAATGGGTTTTTTTTTCTTTATTGTTGGTGCAGAATCCCATTAATTGTCACTCGTATGCATACAGATAATCCCAGGAACCGTTCTTCTATCGTTCATGGAGATGTGAATTCCTGTGTAAAGGTGACAAAAGAAATCCGTGAACAATGGTTCCTCAAAGATAATGATAATTCCTTAATAAATAGTTTGCATTCAGTCAGTTTACTCTTTTAATCCTTATTGAACACCTACGGATAACTAGTTTGATTCTTTGTTAAAATAAAATTTAAATTTTGCTAGTTTAAGTACAAGAAATATTAAATTATTAAATTAAATAAAAAATCAGCGACTTTTGTAAGGATATAATTTTTAGTTTACATTAATTGTAGCCAGAGATGGTGCTTTGATCATTAATTTCTTATCAAATGTAACATTTTGTTTATTTCTGCTGCTTTCTCCTTCCGACTCCCATGTTATTCTTGACGATAAGACCATGCATCATCATATTTTTCATCAGATTTCAAAAGATTTGAAACCTTAAGTATGTCAAGATCGTGTTAAATATAGGTTTCTAATTTTTTTTCATAAACTGTTCATGGATCGTTACAATTTTGCATCAGATGTCATTTTTATATCTATTTCGTGATTTCAGTTGATAAGTTAATCCTTTAACAGAGCTTCTCGTTGCACGTGACGAAGATACTTTTTCAACGAAAGATATAGCTTTTATCTTTGGGGTGGTAATTTTCAGGATATTCAATTCTACAGTTAATATCAATGCACTTACAAAACGTGATTTGTTTCAGAAGTTGTTATCAACACATTTCCACAAATTTACTTAAAAAGGGTGACCCACTCATAAAATGCAAAAGAAAAAAGAAAACACTTTCAATAGAATAATTTTCGTATTAACAGAATACACTTAGAGTTAATATGAAGGAGAATAAACCAAGTTATTTTTCTTTATGTTTGTACACAAAACTTTACTAGAAAAGACACCCCAGAACGAAAACTGACACAAAATGGCACAAGAATTAATAATTGATTGCTTTATAGAACAAATTTAGCAAAAACTAGATCCCTACTGGCAAGAGTAATCTGGTTTCCATTAAAAATTGAAAATGCCATAATTCCTTCAAAAATCATTGAAGCGAAACGAAATGGAAACTTGATCTATAACTCAAAAAAGTTAAGTCATATACCAAAAATCAGCTCAATATTTGCAAGCATTTAGAAAGAAATTCAGAAAACCCTTAAAAATATTAAATTAAATTGGGGGATTAATAAAACAGTAGACCTCTTATTGGGATTAACAAAAATTAAGAATTCGTCACTCGAAATGATAATCAGGATGTTGTAAAGCGCGTTGTGATAGATCATGTATACTTTTGATGTAAAAGAAAATGCGATTCACTGAGAGTACCATACCTTAGTACAAAAATTAATAATGCTATATTCTTTATGTTAAAATGAAATAAAGCGATTGTAAATTATAAATTAAAAATAGTTTTTCGCAGAACACTTTTTTCTAAAACTTACTCAAGAAAAATAAACATATAAGATTGGGATATAAAACTGAATTAGAAACAACAAGTAAAAAAAAAACAATATTTTGAACAGTCTTGGGAATGAAGCAGTATTTTTTCATCAGACAGGTGATTATTTTATGATAATTTTTCACAAAAGGTGTCATCTTTAGAATATTCAGAATCCTTTTTAAGTATACAAGGAATCTGACTGTAGCTATGCTAAATAAATTGTTATTTGAAACATATTTCTTAAATACGCTAGACATCTGATGCTAATCTTTAATCAAACTAAAATCTTTTAGATGAAGAATTAAATCGTGCAATCATTTGAAGTAATGTCAGTCAGGAGTTTATGACGTTTTACGATCAAATGCCAAGAGATCACGCCTCTTTCAGAATATAAATCCACGATACGAAACAACCAACATTTTTTAGGTTATGCTTGCCAAATACTCCTTTTAATAAGAATGAAGAAGTCACAATTCATTATTCTTATATATTTCTCTATTTCTGTGACTTTTGGATACGTCCATTCAATTGGAAATAATCCAAAGGAAAATAAATTGTTTCGCAGTCCCACATCTAGAAAAGCATCCAGCATTTTACGGGATATTCTCAAACAAGAATCTTCATTGCGCTCTTCTATGGTGCAGAAAATTCGGAATTTGGTCATGGATGCTATAGTCGAGAAAAACATTACCAAATTATTATGGGAGAAGCTTATTTATTTAGAGAACAAAATAAATGCTAAACAATTAAAGGACCAGAGCATGGAAGAAGCCTTGGATGAATCATTGGATGATTTCAATCAGGACCAGAATACCACAAACATAAAGTTACAGAGTATTCCTTCTCTACCTCAGTCAGGTAAGAAAATACTTGTTTTTCTTTCTTATAAGCAATAAAAGAAATGATAACTTTGTGTATTGTTTTCATTCAAAATGCTATTTCGAGTACACAGATGTTAAAAAAGTCAACAATACTTTGTTTCCAAAACCCAAAATATATATTTGATCAACTGTGTATGAAAACTTTTTTTTTTCGTATATACGTCATTTCATCTCTTTAAATCAGATTTTCTATTATACATTCAAATTTTGGATTGTAACGGTGTTATTTCTCAATCTCTTTAATTTCAAGAAAACACTTTCATTTCAATTTGCAGAAAAGTAAATGACTTAACAGTTGTAATTCCTGTTTATATCTCATGTTACATGAAAAAGAGAGTATTAATGATGTATTGTGGGATAGCAATAAGGCCTCTATCAACTAACTACCGTACCTATATTGTAATCGATATATGAACATACACTAAGCTTCGTTTTGTTTGTTTGTTTGTTTTTAAAGATATGCTTAATCATATTTGAATATCAAGAGATTAAAAGTACCAAACTTAATTTTATTTTGTTCGTGTAATCTCTTACATTGCACAGAATTATTTATGATACATAAACCAGCAGTAGTAACATCAGCAAAATACATGTAAGCCTCAGCATTGTAAGCAAACAGGGAAAAAAAACAATACTTGCACAAAGCTACCATTGACCTATACTTAATATCAGCATTGATATACTAGGCAGTATCAAAAAATTTCCTAGGTTTTTTTTCATTAAAAATATGAAAACAAGCAAAAAATAGTTTAATTATTCAAGCTATTATTACTACATATGTAGAATTATGAATTGTAGCAATAAAACTATTATATAAGGCGTTTTAATGCTTACAACTTTAAACGTGAAATTTAAACTATTTCCTTCAGGAAGATGTGAAAGAGCAAATATGGCATCTGGGGTGAGTTCAAGAGCATAGCCTATGTAAACATTATGTAAAACTACGATCTTGAACTACATGTTTAAGCTAGACTAGCTACTAATTTATGATAAACTAGCATAAATAATTCATTATAGGTACCAAACCCAAAATGGTCTCCATAGTTATTACCGCCCAGGATCACATGAAATACAGAACACACGAGGTTGTTTTCTCCATCTTAGCGAATTAAATGGTTGTTTAAACATACATTTTCACTTGAATTCAGCTCGCATTGTGCCTACAAATAACATGTAGTTAAAACAATGATACTTGTATACAAAAACTAAAACATATCGGCTAAGTGAGCTGTCAGTTATCTGCCACATAGCTGCTTAATATAAGGATAAAACTAGCATTAAAGTGGCTGCAAAGTTATTGTTGACAACATACATGAACGATTCCGCATGATTAACGCACGATTAAACCTGTTACACGAACGATCCTTCACGCACAGGATTCTACACGTTACACGATCTTTCACGATTGCTAACGTAAACGCACGATTCTTCACGCAAAATAGTTAAAAATATTTAGGATTGGATATTTTCAAAACGAAATAAGGCTGAATAGTTATTTTAGATTACAAATAATTATTGATGCAATTCATCGACTATGGAAAAAAAATAGAAAAAAAATATTTAGAAATGGACATTTTGACACTAATTACGACCTCAATAGTTATTTTGGATTACAAACAATTATTTATGTAATTCTCCGACTTAGGAAAATTGAATTTTTTATCTCTTCGATACGTAAAGGTGTAATTTATTATCGATTGCTGCATGTTCTATCAGATGATATAGGTGGGCCGTGAGTTTTGATTCTATTGGATTTTATAATATGCAGTAAGGGGGGGGGGATAAGATAAAAAAAAAAAAAGGCATAAAAATGAATTAAAACTATATCCATCTTTCCATTTGTAAATCTCGCGAATCAGCAATTATTTTACAATTCATTCATTTGCAGAAATTATAAAAAATAAAGCAAGGGATAAACACTGATAAAAGTAACCCCGACAATCATGTCATGTAAAATCGAAGAATAAATATTTATGTTAGCATTGGGAATTATTTATTTTTTCGTCGTTTCACAAACGATTCTACACGATTGGTTTGTCAACAATAACGTTGCAACCACTGTACTAGCATAAAATCATCAAGCAATGGAAGCACTCAAATCTACAAGAAAAGGATAAAAAAAAAATAACATCGATGCTAAAACATAATCAGTTCATATTTTCCATATCTCTGATCTTCCGAAAAAGATATATAATGCAAAACATGTATGAATGGATTCATTTTTTTAAAGAGATTGACAGAACTAAATTGATATTTTCTTTTATATATTAGGATTGTATAATTACATGAACAGCCAAAATATATATGCGTGTGATATAATAAGACCTATTTTTAAAACCACTAAACTGTTTTTCCTGTAAATTTACCGATGCTTGCGACACTGGGATATTACGATAATAATTAAATGCCTATAGGTGAGTTAAACATAAATAACACATAGATATTTGTTATTAATATTACATATCATCATCTTCAGAGAGAGAGATTGGTATAATGACGTGGGTTTTTATAAAGATTCTATATATATATTTTAGAAATGGCTTGTTTTCTTCCTTTTGATTGTTTCGACATCTACAGTTGTGGAGAAAGGGAAACAGGTGTTTATGAAATATATCCCATCACACGCTTTATCTCTACTCAAGTTCTGTGTGATATGGATTCCACTGGAGGAGGTTGGACGGTGATGATAAACATCTAAATATTTAACTAAATTCTTATGTCTAAACTTTCCTTTTTAGATTTAAAAAAATGTATTCAATATTGTTAATCACATAGAAGATTAATATATTTTAATAAAAAAATTAAATTAACTTATCTTCTTTAAGAAAAGCAAACACAGTGGTACTTAAAGCATTGTCTTGAACTCTATCATTGACACTTCAGGTAATTCAGCGCAGGAAGCGTGGAAATCCCCATGTTAATTTCAACGCCACCTGGGACGAATACAGGAGAGGTTTTGGGTATGTCCCAGGGATGTACTGGCTTGGTAAGCTTAACATAGCTTAACATACCTTCCAGTAATTTTTTTTTAAACTTTTTAAAAATGTACTTATATATGCATGTAAATATAATGATTTTTCTAAATTATTTTGTGAGACTTATGGCGTCTTAGAATATAGAATTGAGCGTTAACATATTCAAACCGAGACTCATGCTACCTACCTTTAACTCTTTACAACTTACTGAACTGTGACGAAACATGCACTTAATGTTCACGTCATAAAAATATGACGTTACCTTTTCCCCGCAAGCACTTTATAGCGAGGTAAATGTTTCTCTAAAGTTTAGCGTAAATAATTATGAGGTAATATTTTAATAAGATTATAACTTTTCTTATTTTATGAGATTTTAGCAATTATAAATTAGAAGTGAATTAGCATTAAATTAAAGATTAAATTTACTTTTCAAAGTGCGTGAAAAATGCGTGATTGCGGGGAAACGGTATATGCGTGATTTGCGTTAGAAATAGGAAATGGTATATGCGTTAAAATGCGTGACTGCGGGGAAGAGGGTTAAAAGCGTGGGTACTTTTTTGGCAGACCAATTGTAGTGTTTCCTGTAAATACCTATCGTTTGGCATAAAACCTGTAGCGTTCCAGGAGGACTCATACGCTTCACTTCATTTGCAAAAAAATTGTATGAAACACCATCAATGTCCAGGTTTCTTCAAGACAAATTTAAGAAAAAAATCGAAAGCCCTGTCATTTTTAAATGATTCTCTAATAGGATTTTTGGAAAGGGGGATGGGGGGGGGGGCTTTTGTAACGAGCATTACATTGGAATATTTCTGTACGTACTTGAATAAAACAGTTTGAAGATTGTTGGATTGATATAATACTTAACATTTACACCGTCTCTGTCTAAAGAAGAAAATTATGTCCGAAGAAATACATGTTTCCTTAAAACATATATCATATTTAACAAAGGTTTAAATAGGACAGATAATTGTGCAACAAATACATAAACCTGAATCGGGTCACGTTTTGAGAGAACAAAATTTATTACATGTGTACGAAGTGATTAGTCTTTTTTAAAATTTTATTTGTCTAAGGAATTCGATATGAGGACTTAGTAAAAAGAAATCGCTCAACACTTTATTAAATTACAGAACAACTAAGAAATTGGGGCAAATTAGGTATATTCATGCGTACTGACAATTGTTCGTTTTCAAGATATTTCTTTGTGTAGAGTGTTTTCTTTATCTTTAATTGATTAGCAATATAGTTCTTAAAGTAAAATATGACTGAATAAAAGTCAATCAAGCACTCAAAGATAATTCTATTAGATTTAAAACCTGCACTTTCTTAGTTAGTAGCTTGACTTTCTTTTTCCAGACTGTGTTTGAATAAACAATGGATGGGTTTTTGAAATTTTGAAGAAAAAAATAAGCACGAATCGAGTGATGAAAAAATTAGGCTAACACTGACATAACAAATTACTTTCAAATAATTTGATCTCCTTGTATATTCAAGTATGAACAAGTTTAAATCATGTGGTCAGACCCTTAAAGTATATGTCATGTAATGAAATTGGATTCCTTGGTGTTAATACATATATAATTACGTTGATAATGCATGAATTTTGAACTTTCTTCTTTAAATTCAGGAAACAACGTCATTATATATTATAATATTATAAACATTGTAGAAACATACAGTTAAAAACCCATTTCCTTGTCTAATCCACCACATCTGAACTATATATCTAATTTGCAATAAATTTCTCAAATTACATGTAAATGATTATGTAAATATATTTTACATATCTCGTTTTGCTAGCTGATGCATTCAGGTCGTACAAGGTAGTCGGCCTTCCCTTTTACACATTTGACCACGACAACAAACACAGGTGTGCAGCTAGGCGTGGGTCTGGATGGTGGTATGATTACTGTACTCATGTTGACCTTAATACTCCTTTTTTGAAAGGGAATACTGTATGGAGTGGTACTATTTCGCAAGGAAATTATCTTTACCTTTCGGAGATGTTGATTAGAAGAACATAGTAAATAAACATTTCGTAAATCCGGAAAACAAAATGAGGATATAATAAAGATATTATAAATCCGTAACTGTTGTCTATAAATATTATCTTTTTTTTTTTATAAATAATAAAATCAAATAATGCAATGTATGTGCACGTTTTTGCTTGACCTGTAAAATCAAGTCTTCTAAAGATTACTGTTTTCTTTACAACTTGATGTACGTATGTAAAAGTTAGATAAAGGCATAAACTTAGATATTTCCCAAGATATAAGAACATTAACTATGTTTTGGCAATTAAACCTCGAAGATTTATTTAAAAAGTTTAGGTAGGGTAACAAGTATAACTTCAATTCATCTCTAGCCCCTATCCATACTCCTCACCAAAACATAAATTGCTGTGAGGGAGAAACCTCAGACGTATTTTGCTATAACATATTCAAGAGGTGGTGCAAATAAAATGTAGATTTAAAAAAAAAAAACCAAAGAACTTTTGGAAAACTTAACATTCCAAGAACTTTCATACATATAAGTCATCAAAACGTGGTTCTTTTAACCTTTTTACAATCTATTCGAGAATAGTCAAAACAGCATCTATCAAAAACGTGCCAGAAAATGTTTTATTGTCTGTGACTATGAACGGGTTAAGAAATGAGCTTAAAACTTTTGTTGTTACACAAAACCCCAAAACAATAGAAAGATTAAGGCAAATTGCCTTGTTGGCAGAGAAATCTCAACCATCTCAAATAAACACTTTGGAAGCTTACGAAAATTTATTGTCAGAAGTCAGAGATATGAAAGATCTAATTTTAAAACCAGAGATCAATGCTGTCAGTCAAAATTTCCCACAGCAATTTTTCCCCCACCACAGTATGCACAACAACAACAATTCGTGCCTACACTTTCACCGAGGCCACAATATTACACTTCAATGCAACAACGCACTCGGTACAATAGACAATATGCACCACCAGCTCAACCACCACAAAGATATCGGGCCCCAAGACGCAATATGGTTACTAACATGCAAAGTAGACCTACTAACTATTCTACTAACGCATTCCAGCAACGCATGAATGTTCTCACTTGTTACTTTTGTTTGGGAACGTGCCCTGACAGAAACAGATGTCCGGCAAGAAATGTTGTGTGTCACAATTATCAGAGCATTGGGCATTTTTCAAGGGCTTGTAAACAGACGCGCAAATCCCAACAATAGGGATTCGCGCCTGTCTCCAGCAATTGGAAAAGCTGACAAACAAAGAAAAGAAGTAATTTTTCTGCTAGAGACAGGCATAATAGTGAATCTGTTGAGGCATTGGTCAGTTTTGCAGATAAATGTTATCTACCTATTTCCCTTCAGCATTCCAAATTTAATGCTCTTTTAGATACGGGCTCTTCTATTTCAGCTATCAATCAACAAGTTCTGAATAAATTGAGAACTCAGAGAAAGCAAATAAAAGTTTCGGAAATTTCCAATATAACCGGGGCAGGGGGAGCATCACATCCGGTTAATGGGAAAATTGATTTACAAATCAAAATTGGAGGTCTCAGTTTAAAACATACTTTCCATATTATTGAAGCTTTATGTCATCCGGTCATTCTAGGAGCTGAATTCATGAAACAACAAAAAGCATGTTTAGATTGGGGCTCAAGAACTTTGTATTTACAAGAATTTTTGACTCACATCAATGTTATCAATTTCAAGACGGGGTTGGCTAGAACTGTCAGGTCAATGACCATTCCCCCAGACCCTATGATAAACATTTCGGTCAAATTATCGCGTACTAAGAATAAGGTCACTGTGTTACTCGAACCGAACGCTAGTAAACAAACAAGCCTCGCGATTGCAAAGTGTCTGGTTATAGATAAACCTAAACAAGTGTTTATGCAGGTCACACATACAGCTAATGAGCAGATAAAACTTCTGGCTGAAACAGTCTTAGCATCGGTGAACCCCATTGATGACGCAAAGATATTTTCTATGGAAAAACAAAATGCGAAAGTAACCTCAAAAGAAAAAATGGTCCCTCTGGATTTATCATCTTCCATTCTATCTCAGAATTCGAAAGAAAAAGAAATTTTTCAAATATTTATAAACAAAAACAGTGATGTCTTTGCAAACAATTTATCAGAATTGGGCAAGTGTAATGTTTATCGTCTTCAATTATCACTGAAGATGACAAACCAATCAAATCACAACCATATCGTACGTCTCCAAAGGCAAAGAAAGAAATTGAAAAACAAATAAATGACATATATGACATAATTGAAGAAAGTACTTCATCATACGCCACCAGTGGTTTTAGTCAAAAAGCCCAACAATGAATACGGATTTGCAATAGATTATCGAAAATTAAACGCAGTGACCCCTGTTCAAACATTTCCAGCAGTGCTGTTAGAACATGTTTTTGATGCAATTGGACAAAACAAAGCAAACATATTTTCTACTTTGGATTTGGCTTCTGGCTATTGGCAAGTAGCACTTGATGAAAAAACAAAACATAAAACTGCGTTCATTACGCATGATAATTTATATCAATTCAAAAGAATGCCTTTTGGTCTTGTAAATGCCCCAGCAACTTTTCAAATGCTCATGAATATGGTGCTAAAAGGCCTTACGTGGAAACATTGCTTGGTTTACATCGAAGACATCATTGTATGGTCAGATACTTTTGAAAATCATTCGAAACATCTTAATTTGGTTTTTGATCGTTTAAGATAAGCAAACTTGACTTTAAAACCAAGAAAGTGTTCATTTGCAAAACCAGAGGTCACATATCTAGGTCATATAATATCTACACAGGGAATAAAAGTTGACCATTCAAAAGTTGACGCGGTTCAATCATTTCCATTACCACAAAATCAGCATGATATCCGCAGTTTTCTGGGATTAGCAAATTATTATCGGAAATTTGAAAA